AGGAGTAGTAAAAACTCTTCCCCCACACTGTCATTATCTAGCTGCCAATTCTCAAAAAAGTAGCTTTCAAGCAAAAGAAACATAAAGACAAAAACAGTTATGAAGGCAAACACACAGACAGAGGAACATAGCTTTCCAGACTAATGCACTGTATTACATAGACAGGGCACATAACTCATGAACATGTACTCTGTGAAAACAAGTTCCTGGCTTCCAATAAAGAAGTTTGTCTCTCTGCGGTCAGCCATGGTTGTTAACTTGGCATAGCCATTCCAGTCTGCTCCCTGGTAAGTTTAGATTAGTCTAATACTGCTTTATGTGGGGCTATCCTTGTGCCTGGTCTGGAAGCTGTGAAGAATGTGGCTGGCAAGACAAAGTGTTAGAAACCTGGTTGGCTAGACACGTTAGGTTGGTGCTGAAACAAATGCATTGGCTGCTTATGAGCTACTGAGACAAGTCTGATATCTTGTTGCTGGCATATTAAGTCCCGCATATTTTAGGAATAAGCTGCCTGGCCAAGCACCTGCCCAGGCCTGTGTGATCATTAAGAGGCTTTGCTAGCTATATCATAACCTTCAGATTGCCATCTGGAAGCAGTCCAGAACTGAGCCTCTTTCATGGTAATGCCTACATCGTGGAATGTCTTCTCCTCCAGTACAGTGGTGCCCCGCATAGCGAGGTTAATCTGTTCTGGATTAACCATCACTATTTGGAAACATCGCTAAACGGAATAGAAAAACCCATTGGAACGCATTAAACTTTGTTTAATGTGTTCCAATGGGCCCCAAACTCACCGTTCAGCGATGTTCCTCCATAGCGCAGGCATTTTCGCGTCCTCGGTAAGCGAGGGCAAGCCGCGAAAACGCTGCATGCGGCCATTTTGGGTCTTCCGGCGGCCATTTTGGAACCGCCGATCGGCTGTTCCCCCAACATCGCAAAGCGATTTTTGCCCATTGGAACCATCGGTATGCGATCGCATTAGCGATCCCAAAAAACAGATCGCTATGCGAATTCGTTGTTAAACGGTGCACTTGTTATGCGAGGCATCACTGTATTTGGAAAATATCAGCTGTGAGAGTAGGCATTCCACAAAGTGGTATCTATCAAAGACTTCTCTTAACACAGGCCTTCACTATCTAGTTACAGTGGTGCCTTGCTTGACGATTACCTTGTTATACAACGGAATTGCTTAACAATGAGTATTTTGCGATTGCTATAGCAATAACAAAATGATGTTTTAATAGGAAATCATCGCTTGACGATGATCGGTTCCCTTCTTTGGGAACCGATTTTTTGCTTTATGACGATCAAAACAGCTCATCATCGGGTTTCAAAATGGCCACCCGCTGTTTCAAAATGACTCCCCGCTGTTTAGGAAGGCTTTTTCGCTGTACAGGCACCGGAAAATGGCTGCCCTATGGAGGATCTTCACTGGACGCTGAGGTATTTCGCCCACTGGAACGCATTGAACCGGTTTTCAATGCATTTCAATGGGCTTTTTTACTTTCACTTGACAACGATTTTGTTCTGCAGCGATTTTGCTGGAACGGATTATCCTCGTCAAGCGAGGCACTACAGTATATTGTCTCATGGTAATAGTTTCATAATTTTAAATGTCAGAAGCAAGAGATTTCAATGCATGGCTACAATATTTCTATTGATAGTTTGCAATTCTACACATGCTGACTCAGAAGTAACTCCGCTAAACTAAATGGTATATACCAGTGAGCAAACATACACAGGTTGAATCTGTAAAACATACTAAGCACTTGTTTAACAGATTCTTCTTAATTAACTGAAATAAAACTTTCATCTTTTAATTAGAAATGCAAACCATACTGTAGAAAAGTTTTATTATTTCAACTGTTACCATGAAGTTGGAGCTTTATAAAGAATGAACAGAAGTATCCACTTGGCTCTCTCCCTTACATTTTCTCTATTTTATATTCCTTTATTTCCGGTATTTAATTCACTGTAGTTCAATTTGGTAGTTTGGACCGCTAGAACATGGTGACTCTGCAGATGCCGCCAAACAGGATTTCCACTTTATTCCCCCAAATCTGTTCGGAATCCCTGCCTGCTCCAACAAATTATAACAACAACTGATTAGGTATTCTCCTACAGAATGACTAGGTATACTTCTTCTATTTCCATTTTTAAATAGGTGAACCACTACAACAGTAAAAGGCTTTACAAATCTTATAAACACTGAGTGAGAACTCACCAATATGCTACAATTATCCTTCCAGTGAATGGGAGGGACTAATTTTAAGCCCTTGGAAGCCCAAGGGAATCAAATGGATTGGCAAAAATGCAGCATCTCTCCCCAAAGATATGAAATCTTCCTTTTTCAAAAAATGGGCTGTTTTGTTCTTTTTGAATCAAACACTACATGGGGTTGGGAGCTGTGTTCTATTAAATAAATGATTTTCTGCCTCTGGAGAATTTCAGAATTTTTAAATGAGTGTGTGTGTGTGTGGGTTCACTATTGGGGTCCTGGGTGGGCCATTTGCCCTCACCCTGCACCCTCTGGAGGGGCCTGTCAGAGGTAGCACCTGCCAGCCTCAGGTAGATACAGAACTGGGTCAGCCAGCCTGAGGCCAGGAGGTGGTGGCAGTGAATAGGAAGCACTTTAGTACGGTGGAGGTGGATCTAAGCAGAACGCTGGCAGCAATAAGAAAGGCACAGATGGAGCTAAGGTGGGGGCAGGGAGAGGAATATAATATGAAGGAGGACTCCAAGATGAACAACCCAGAGACAACCAATGAGGAGTCTGGGGTAATGCAGCCAAAGACCTAGACACAGTTTTGTGTGCCAAAGGGGTGGTTGACTATGTGTACACTGAAGACATCTAGATGGGCATCTTCATGCATATTCATATATCCCATGGGAGATGCTGTGATAGGGATTTGCTCAACCCAACACCCATTCAGCCTGCCTTCCACTGTTCAGTGGAAGCCTTACAGCAGGAAACTTTGTTCGCAAGTTTAACCGCCAATCCCTAATTCACTGTTGCAGCTTGCACATGGTTGTCATTTGATGGTAGTAAAGTACCATTTCCCCCAAATTAAGACCTAACCTGAAAATAAGCCCTAGTATGATTTTTCAGGATCCTCATAATATAAGCCCTACCCCAAAAATAAGCCCCAGTTAAGTGAAACCCCACTACACCATTGTGCGGAAACCAGGTTAGGGGAAATAAATACAACCCGGGACAATATCCCGGGTGGTTGGGAAACTGTTTGGATGCAGGACCCTTGGACAGGGAAATGGGAACAGATTCGGGTGTCCAAGGCTGAAGCAGAGAACCGTAGAAGAAGGGGCTTACCCCAGAGACCTTCCTATTGGGGTGAGTCTGAGACCCGGGAATGGAGAAAAACTAGGGAGGAGAAAGAAGCCATCGCCAGAGAAAACGAAGCACGCTGGGCATGGCATCTAGAAGAACTGCGGAAGATGGGGTGTTTTCTGGACCTTGGGGTGACTCACGAGAGGGATCCCCATTGTGGGGATGGATGGGGGATGAAGAGACCCTCCCGCTTTTGAACCAGACCAAACCTGAGTTTGAGAATGTTGATCCAGAACGTGTGATTGCTGGACCTTGGAACGTTGATACGGTTAACCCTTTTGAAGAGAATTTATGGTTACCCTTGCGAGAGCCGTTGCTCGAACAAGAGACTCAACCAAGAGAACATGTTAAAGTTGGAACCCCGTCGGTTAATAAATGACACAAATCCTTTTTGGAAAACTGAGTCTGGTGATTTAAGAAAAGGGAAGCCCACATACATGAACCTTCACATGGTGTAGTTTGCTTGGGAGTGGAGTATTTATGGCTCTGAGATAGGCTTTTGTCCTATTCAGGGGATGGGTGATTAGTGTGTCTTGTTGTGGGTGTATTGTTGTGATAAGGAGGAGAGATTATCTGTCACTGTGATTGATGGGTCATTAGCTGGTCTTTTGTGCGTAATGATCCCCAGTCCTTGTGGTTGGGTAGAGGTCGCTGACCTTCTGCACGCTGTATTTTTCAGAGCTGGAAGCCAAGTTTTGTTGAGTTTCAAACTTTCCTCTTTTTTGTTGAAGTTCTGCTGGTGCTTGTGGATTTCAATGGCTTCCCTGTGCAGTCTGATGCAATGATTGCTGCTGTTGTCCAGTATTTCAGTATGTTGAAATAGAATTTCATGTCCAGCTTGTTTTAGGGCATGTTCAGCCAAAAAAACCACAACAACCATTAGATCTGAAGGTCCTTGAAAAATACAAAGTCGATTTGACCACTGTGAAGTGTGCCTACTATTGCTGCAAGAAGTCTAGCACCGTGCATTTTTCAAGACACTTCCAGCCTGCAAGTCACCCTCACTCTCATCCGACTATGCTAAAATCTGCAGATGTCTGAGGCAATTCCCTTAAGGCTCACCGTGGGTCCCTGCAAAACTTCACTACTAACCAACACGTCTTGGAAATTAACGAAGACACGAAATCACCACGATGCCCCCTCTGGCACGTGGATGGGTGCTGAACTGAGCAAATATGGGGAGCTTGTTGATCTAATCCAGCCGAAGTTGTCCGTGATGCGGTCCCTGGAGCCCAAGGTAGGACCGAACATCCAACTCCTACCCCATCTATAGAGAGCAGGAGTTGGATGTTGGATATATACTCGATCCTCAGCAGAACTAAGTACGAGACTGTCACGACAACGGCGGCTCAGACACTCCGGCCTCTTACCTCGTTCCGGGGGGGGGGGCGTTACCTCCTCAGGCAAGTTCCCACCTCAAGAAGATCGGGCGGGAAGGGCGGGCGGGCGCACTCGGGGGGCGCACTCCACTCACCTTCCCCCCCATTGCCCACCACAGTCGCCCTCCCGTAACCGCAGCGCTTGCTTCCTCTCCTAACGCCGACTCCCCGTTTTCTCTCTGCTTTTTACAGGCGTCCCCCCCGCCGCCGCCCCTGGTTACCTATGTAAACCAGGCGGGCTTTCTCTCTCTCTCTCTCCCCCCCCCTCCACTTACCCATCTCGGCGACCGGGGTGGTGGAGGGGGGTGGCGACCCCGTCCCTCGGACAATCCCCGTCTCTCCTTTCGCGCCGTCCGTCCGTCCGTCCGCCCGCCTTCCTTCCACCCTCACAGCGGCCACCTCCGTCGTCGCCGCCTCATTCCAAGGCTTTTTGACGCCCGGTGCCCCCCTTCGCGCAACTCCTTTCCTCAGGCCCGGAGTGGCGGCAGAGACGGCTCCTCCCCCCACCCGCCTTCCGTCGGTTCGCTCGACTCCTTCCTTCGGCGACACTAACCCTCTTCGGCGTCGAGAGCCTCTTGCGCTTACGCATGCGCCCTACCTGTGGTAAAAACATTTCGCCCAAGAGCCTCAGGGGAGTAAGGGCGCGTGCGCATTCCCGTAGTGGGCGGAGCTACCGCTTTTGTCAACTACCAATTGCAGTCAAAGTGGGCAGAGGACGTTTTTGTCCGGCCAATCCTGGCACACCGACCACTTCCCTGCGGATGTTTCAGTCTTTTCGACTCTCACGTGGCCACTTTGGCAACCCATGAACTGCGCGATTGAGCCCACAAGTCGAGCAAGAAACTGTGCGTTTTATTGTGAGAGACGGACTACACGGAGCGGGGATTGAGAAATGCTATGAATTTGAGAAAGGCTGATTGGCATTTTCCCCCCTTGAACGCATGCCGTAAAGGAGTCCGGTGGAGCCCCACAGTCCCAATACGTATTTTTTTTCCTCTGCACTACAGACCCCCCCCTTTTTAAAAATCGAATCCTTTCACTTCAGTTCGAAGCGTGTGATCAAAGCCTCTTTCTGCAAGACACTTTCTTAAAACAGTTCTCCGTGGGCAATGCTTGGGGGGGTTTATTTTTGTTTTACAGGTTAAGAAAGGGCGCTCGTCTCGAAGGGTGCTGTTTTTTTTTAAGTACCGGACTCATTTTCCAATTGTAATGTCTTAAGATGCCAGAGTAGGACCAGCCGTGACCAGTCATTCCCAATGGGAAATTGAGGAAATTGAAGTAGGAAGCGTTGTACTGTTTATGAGCCAGTTCTTTGTAACGGCGCCACCTGCAGGGCCATATTCGGAATTGCAAGCAAACAGCCAAAAGATAGAAAGAAATCTCCCTCCTGTTTTGTGCGGTCACTTAAATCGCATAGAGCCAAATTCCTTGGTCCGACTTAATAGCAAAGGAATGAATTTGCATTTCCCTCACTGTGCAGCCGCATGCTGAGGCATCTGTAACATATGTACAAAGAACAGGCCATTTGGCAGAAATTATTTACCAGGTATAGTTCTCGGAGCCTTTTGACTTCTCATGTTAACCGAAGTTCATCTCCTGCAAAAAAAGAAATCAAAAACAGCCCTATGGCTAATTTACAAACCTTTGTCCGCTACGATCCACTTAATTTGACACTTGAACCCCTAACAGAACAATATCTGCACACAGGTGCTCACAGTCTATCCACAAGCAGTACTTTTTTAAACCCTATTTTACAATATATAATTTTTTCAATGAGGAAATCCCATATTGTCCCCAAAATGGAGTGATAAGCCACTTCTGAGTACTTTATACCTAGAAACCCTGAGAAGTAGGAATCTGTTTGATGCCACACAATTATTATCCATTTACAGTAGTAGCAAAAACAAAGACTCCTTTGGCAACTATATGGTTTATTTGGGCAGAAGCTTTCCTGCACCCATGTAGTGTAGCCGCAACAAACATTTACAGAGAGATGAATGTTTTTGCTCATGTCTAAAACACTGCCATACAATGAAGAAATATATCAGATAATTTTTGTCCAGTAATGAATGGGGAACATCAAGAGCATGGAACAGCTACTATTAAATCTTCATGTTGAAGGCACAGAGTACACTGGTGTAGGTGCAAAGTTGCCTGTTCTTCTTTGCAAATGCAATAGACTATCTTGATACAACCCCCCCCCCCATTTTTTTGGTTTACCTTAGTTCTGCCAACTCCATTCCATAATCTATTAAATAACCCAGTTCTCTGTGTGGCCAGGGGCTAGACTTTCTTGGGGCTCCATCCATTTTAAAAGATGGGTAGACTCCAGACTTGCCACCTTTTACGTAAATTACTATAAAGTTTATCTTCATAAATACTTTATAAATTCTAGCAATAGTTAATTATTGCACACTCAATAAATTTTGACTTTCCAGTTTTTTTGAACTTCCAAGTCCAGAAGCCCTTGTCAGCATGGTGCTCAATCCACATTTGCTGAAACAGGAGAAAAGTACGGTACATAGTGACTTCTGTTGCCTAGTTTATACTATAAATAATTATCCTCAATCTATCTCTGTTGAGTGTGGCGTTACGCGAATGGATACAGAAAACAGAGGGTTTAGAAATCTCAGTGGGTTCCTTAGAGCCTAACTTCTTAAATGTTTCATAATAATAGCTCTGTAAGAGTTTGATTTACACACACTAATATAGTATTTCAGGAATGAGAACAAGATGAATATCTAAGATACAGATTTTTCATGAAGTCAGATTTTGCTGATTAAGAATTAGTTACGTCTCCTCCCCTTCTGTTGCCTAGTTTATACTATAAATAATTATCCTCAATCTATCTCTGTTGAGTGTGGCGTTACGCGAATGGATACAGAAAACAGAGGGTTTAGAAATCTCGGTGGGTTCCTTAGAGCTTAACTTCTTAAATGTTTCATAATAATAGCTCTGTAAGAGTTTGATTTACACACGCTAATATAGTATTTCAGGAATGAGAACAAGATGGATATCTAAGATATAGATTTTTCATGAAGAAGTCAGATTTTGCTGATTAAGAATTAGTTATGTCTCCCCCACCATACGACCATGAATAATTTAGAAATATTCAATTTTTATTAAAACGTAAGAAAGGCAGAATACACACAGTGAAATAGGCATGGGACAAACTAAAGTAGACAGAGGAAGCAAGGTCAACATTTTAAAAATTCCAGCATTCTACTTCAAACTTTTTTAAAAACTGTTTTAAAATTTTACAGCATTTGAATACAATTGCAGAAATCAGGTAATCCAAAACAAGATATAATTCCATTGTATTACAATTTTTCCATACAAACCAAAAAGGGAATATTGCAACAAGATAGCCATAAAGGTAAGTTAAATCTAGTTCAGTAACAATGTGGCTGAATGATACTAGATAAGAAAATATATATACTGTGATACCCTAGACCGGGGTGGGATGGGGGGAGGAAACAAGAACAAAAGTAACATCAGTGCTATTGCTTATTTGAAAGAACAAAAAATTTGGGACTTTATACAGTCATGCTACGAAGTTTACACCTTTAAGAAATCACGCTGGGAGTACACAACATAAGCTAGCATCAGTTTAGTACTGGTAAGTAAAAAAAGTTCATCTCATATTAATTCATATCCTGTACAGTAAGAACAGCTTTGTTCCTTTTAAAACAGATACCACAAATTCATAGTCTTCACTTAACCAATAACTCAACATATTCTCACACTGCTTTGAAAGTATATTGTAGACCAGTACATTTTTCTTTTTTAAAGTACATCCTGTATTAATCTCATGTCATGCTCATGGTCCACATGCCTTAGATCAGCGCCATCTGGCCTATTCAAGCAAACTGAAGAAAACAATTAGATTTAAACCAGACCTTTGATTTTTGCAGGACTATAAACAATTTACTTGTTCTTCTGTGTCCTAACTAGTGTCATGTGAGAAGAAGTTGAGAGAAGAGAAAGATGAGGAAGTCTGGCAGTTCAGTTAGTTGCAGGGCAAGAATTAGTATTATTTAAACAAATACATGTATATGTTAGCTACCACATTTCCCCACCACTGCATTCAAGTACTACAGAACAAATAACTGATAGTTTGTCAATTACTATGTGATTGCTAGTCAATGCCATTTCTTTTTATATCACTATGTACATCAGTGGTGGTTACAGCTTGAAATGGCCATCCTCCCCCAATGTTACTGTAGGAAAATGGTCTCACTGATACACAGTCTTCTCCTCACTCAACCAGGGGAAGACAATCCTTTGGAGAAGGAGGTGTCAACATCTACAAATACATTCACTTTTGGTGTGTTAGAGGAGAGCTATGGCAAACGGCTGACACTACTGAAGCTTCAGCATACACTTTTGTATGGAAGAGACAGGCAGCACCCCTGTATGTCTACAGAAGAGAAGCTTATATTCTGGTCACACTAATGATCTAAAAATCAAGGCTGTTCCATAATAACAGCGTATAGAACTCTCAACCCTTAGACCAGGCATTGCCTTACAGAGGAAATTTTTATTATACTGGATGCATCTCACTGCTGAGATAAATGCAGTAACAGCTGCTCTTGCAAGGCTGAAATTTATCTTAAGGAAATATTGGTGAGGCATAATGTGAGGCATAACGTGGGTGTTCTGCACAGACTGCAATACTAGAGATTGGCTTCTCGAATTAGATTATGCATATTCATGTACACATCCAAAATACTTCTTCTGAGGACTTTGTTGTAAAAAAAGGAGAGCAGAAAATAAATTATTATATAATAACATATGGGCTAACAAATTAAAGCTTCACACCACAATGTTTCTGCAAGAGTAAGATGTGTTCTGTGACACTTTCTTCAAAATCCAGAAGTCCCTGCTTAAAGGTAAAGAATAATTTTAATAATTGATCTTTAATTGCAGACAGTGCCCCTGCAAGACTCATTGTTAGTATCAACAGACACAACAGAGGGAAAGAAAAGAAGCAGACATGAAAGTATTTACTTTACAGAACATTACCTTTGAATTTCCATCAGTAGAACTCTTAAACACTTAGGAGGCATCTGGAGCAGCAACAAATGTTTTCTTCTAGGGTATTAACTGCTAGTCAATGTCACTGCTCATTTAATACAAACGCTCAACACAAATGGTGGTCATATATACATAACTTTAATTGAAAGCAATAATAAAATCCCAGATAGTCAGAAGGCTCAGCATATCCCTGCATTTCATGGGGGTGAGGGAAGGAAGAAGAGGAAGGGACATGTTAGTAACATATACCCATCAACACCAGTTGTGAGTATTCTTAGAACATGTTATTAAGAGCTAGTGGCACTGTCTCAATGCACTGTTATTCGTAATATTACTAGGGGTAAAGATTCTAATTCCATTTTATTTACCCCATATGGCCCAACCATTTTTACACTCTTAAGATTTCCAGACAGTTGTTGTAACAGATAGCTATCCAGTCCGACTGAGTTGAGGCCCACTGTACATTTTTGATTTCTCCTTCTGCTGTGTAGGCCAAGATTGGGTCTTCAATGGCACGTGGCATTTGCTGGATATCCCAAATAAGTGCTTGATGGTCATCCGCTGCAAAAGTGAAAATGCAGAATTAGAGCTACGAGAAAACAGCATTTCCCACTGATATTTAGTGATACATGTAAACAGAATGTAGCAGGCAAATATACAGAGATAAACATTATCTGAGAACTGTTTCATTCATTCATGGATTCTGACTATGCTTTACATCAGGCTTGTCCAACCTGCGGCCCGAGGGCCGCATGCGGCCCAGGTCAGCTCGTAATGTGGCCCAGTGCAATTTTTTATTTTTAAAGAAATTCCAAAGTTTCAAGTTACACTGCCGGTGCTTGCGGCCAAAATGTGGCCGGGGCATGTCACAACAATAGAGGGGGAGAGAGGGAAGGAAAGAAGGAGTGGGAGGGGAGGGGACAGGCGGGCTGTGTGACTGCATTGCGCCATCCCCGTCAATAGGTGGACCCCCTCCCGGCCCCATAAAGCCGCCAGAGTCGAAGCTGGCAGCCTCTGCTGTCTGAGATCGCAGCTGCCAGTAAGCACGCTTGGCGCAGGGCTGCGGGAGATGGCTAGGGCTGCCCCCCCATGCGGCCCAAACCAAACGCATGTGCGGCCCAAACCAAATTTTCATCTTCTAATGTGGCCCAGGGAAGGTGAAAGGTTGG